CTCCCTCCCTCCCTCCCTCCCTTCTTTTTTCCCTTCTCTCTCAACAAACAGAGAATGTAAGGGTCCTTGCAGATTCTAGGTGAGAAGTTCCCCAAAGCAGAATGTGAAAACTGACATGAAATAGAACAAATGCATCATATTCAAGCCATTAAGTAATACAGAATATTTCTTTTTTTCCTAGCCAAGAAGCTGTTCTAAAATATGTTACTATTTATTGCTTCAAAAGAGTGAAAGATCCTCCTTCTGAGGAAACATAGCACCCCCATAGCTCATCCATTGCTTTTCAAAGTAATGAAACCCTCTTGGCAAACATATTTGTGGTATTGAACCCACCAGGCCTGGCAAGCTCCTGCTCCTTGACTTCTCTGTTAAAAGCATCATAGGTGGAGCCTTTGGTGAGGTTGGGATGATGCTGGGATATCTGTGATCCCAATGTGATTATTTTTGGCTGTACTGAAACTGGTAGTAATGGTGTAGATGTTGCTTCTGGGATATTTGCACATGCAACAAATTTCTTTCATTCCTCTTCTGAAGTTTGCATTATAGATGTAGAAGAGGGTTGGTTTAGAGGCTGAGGAACTGAAGGAGATCCAGGTGATGGCCAGGAAAAGCAAGGAGCTCTTTCTGTAGTCTGTTTCCTGTGGGTGCCACAACTGTACTGTGAAAAAAGGGAGCCAGGACAGGAGAAAATCCAAGACAAAAATGAAAAACATCTTGACAGTTTTCACTTTTCTTCTTGAGACAAGATTCATTGTCCTCCTGCCAGCTATGTCCTCAGTGCCACTTCTCCAAATGTAGGTGAAGAGTTTCTGGTAGCAGAGGATAATGAGAAGTGATGGGATCAAAAGCAACAGCACTGACAGGTGGATGACACCAGAGGCAGTTCCTAGCCAGGAATTGGGGAGGAAAAAGTTGCAGTGGTGGTCGCTGTTGAAGCCGTAGAGAAAACAGGCTGGTGATGCAAACACAGCACCACAGAGCCAAGAGACCAGAGTCATTCTCTTGGCTTTCTCCCTTGACACTTTGAAATTCAGAGGATGGATGAGAGTATAGAATCGATCCACACTGATGGCGAGGAGCACATAGATCTGGACTCCAGGTGTGAGGTACTGGATGTATCTGACCAGCTGGCACACCCTGCTGCCCAGCATCCACTGCCCAGAGCTCAGCTGCAGCAGCAAGAAGGGCGCGCTCCCCACGCTGCTCACGAGGTCTGCACAGGCCATGGACACCACAAAGTAGTTGGTGGTGGACTGTGTCCTCCTGCTCCTGTGGATCATTAAGCAGACGAGGAAGTTTCCCAGGACAGAGATCAGCCACAGAGCTCCCCAAACCACAGTGGCAGCTGCGATTTCCCCTGGCCTCAGCCCATATTCTACCAGAGAGTGGTTCATGCTGGAGCTGGCTCCTGATGGTGGAGGTTCTGCCATCTCGTAGCCAGCAGGAGGGGTGGAGGCTTTGGGGCTGCTCGTGTTCTGCAGCAGGAGCAAGGTAAGGAGAAAAACAGGACCACTGCTGTTATCCATGCTGTGAGCAAACTCAGCCACGTCTTTTCCTCAGGCTGCAGACAGAGAGAGAAAAGGTTTTGTTGAACAACTGTGTGAAAAGCCCAAAGTAATCAATAAGAGATAACTCTAAGTAGTCTCCATACTCCTTAGAGCAGATTTCAGAGAAAGGGGTCAGAAATATATGGTGACACTATGTGGCATGGCAGAGAATATTAAGTTTTGTGCAGATTTTTAGGAATGGCCTGAGTATTTCAGACAAGCATTTCTGTCTACAGGAAGATAAGCTGGAGACTCAGCTGGAGACTGAGGTGCAATTTCATCAGGGCTGGTGAGCTGTAAACCGAGCAAGCAGAACATGCCCCACTGATCCCAGAAATGAGCTGTACTTCCTCTGTGAAAGTGTCAGAAAAGCAGACCAAGAAGGTCCCTGCACCCTTGATTTGACCTTGAGCTTTGCTGCAGAAGGAAAATACTGAGGGAGGAAGTCAGTGTACACAGACAGATGATGGGGGAAGGAGGGGAGAGCCTTTTGAGTTCTAGCAGTGGAGCCTTAGTTTGTCTTGTCAGCATTGTCAATACATGTGGGTGAAGTCAGCTGCTGAGCATTGCTATGCTCTGGAGAAAATCCAGGGAGATGGGAATGTTCTTACTTTGGTCAGGGCCTTCCACCCAGGCAGCAGCAAGGCTGACTCTTCACAGCAGGACCAGCCCAAAGGTTCTGCAGGTTGACCCAAGGGACAACTGAAGGACTGCCAGAAGCAACTGACACCAACAGTCAACCGAGAACCTCTGCCCCCGATTCTGTAACAGAGCTCTACAAGCTGAGATTTGCTGTGGTCCAAGTGCAGGACCCAGCACTGGGTCTTGCTGAACCTCATCCCATGCAGCCTGTCCACATCCCTCTGCAGAGCCTTCCTACCCTCCTGCAGATCAACAACTTGTGCACAAATCAGTGTCACCTGCTTGCTGCCCAAAGGGTCACTCGGCACCCTCAGCCATGGTCGTAATGATATCAGACACAACTGGCCTTGCCCAGCTCTGTGAAGGACAGTCACCCTTGGGAAGACATGTTTTTGTGATAATAACATATTCTTTGATAAGCATATGAGCAGACAAACCCTGTTCCTCTCCAATGCTCAGTAACTGGGGTGTTACGAACTGGTACACACTTTCAGAATTTCAGAACTATAACGCTTATTGTCTTGTCTGCCACCTTACATCCAAGCCCTTCAGGAAACAGTTTTCAATTCCCTACTGGTATTCCCCCTTCTCCTCCTGCTGATTTATCCCAAGGCAGGAAGATGGCAAGCTCCTCTTCTAAGCATCTCTGAGATCAAATGTAGTGGAAGACTGGAAAAGGCCTGGTAGCCAAATGGGAAGGGCCCTCTGTTAAAAATTCCTCTACAAATCAGCACTAACTTTTGCTGTAAAAGAGCCTTGAAGTTCCTGGGGTCTTGGAGGCAGTAACAGTGACATTTGCAGATCAGGGCTGGCCATGGTGTTATGGGCAGAGCAAAGAGGTCGACTCAGACAGCTCAGCCAGTGGATCTCCTCTGATTAAAACCAGCAGGTGGTGAATATATCTGGGAATGTGCTGCTTTCCAAATCCTGTAAAATATTACTAAATACAATGCGTCCTGTGGAATGTGGCCATTGAGACAAGATGTTGGAGTATGGGCTGGTTGTGTTGCAGCAGGGAGGAAAATTCAATTACTAGTTTATCACTGAAAAGTCCCATTGAAAGCAGGAAAGAGAAGTAAATGGAGCAAGAAGTCAATTTTCCAGTAAGGAAAAATGTTCAGAGGCATTCAATTCTCCTTGCTCCGAATCCAAAAGATTTTTGTCAATGTTTTGATTTTCTAGATATAAACAAATCACATAGTCTTTTCTGTTCACATGATTTTCTCAGATTTTTTTAATCCTCTTACATTTCCTGTCCTTCAGGATGAGATACTGGTATATTTTACACAAAATAAATACAACAGGGATAAAATTGTGCATATTTTTTTATCCAGACTTGGAAATCTGGGCAGTTTACTGGGACCACCTGTGCTACCAAGAGTTTTGTTTCCCTATCAAGATTTATTTTGTGGCTAAAACTTTAGGAAAGCTGAAAGGAGCTTTCCCATGGAAAGAAGGTTCCATGCTGTGTTCCAGAGGAAGCTCTCAATGTGCCTGTTGGTATTTCACTTCATTCTTAGTGAGTTCTAAAGCCCCAGCTCTGAGTAGTATCCATATCATTAATACAGGACTTTCCAGGCAGTTACTTAGATTACTTTTAATTTGAAGCTCTTTCACTATGAAATATGAATCAAAACCTTGAGTACCTTTTGCAGTGTATTTGCTAGAAAAGTCACAGTCATTGTCATTCAGATGAGGTTTTTAGAGTGTGTCTCAGATGTAGCCCAGCAGAACTAAATTTGTTTTGCAACAAAAAAAAAAAAAAGGGATTGAAGGATCTTGTGGGAAGAGGTGGATGTGAGAGACAGAAGGCTCTGGTTGAACAGCATGAAGGATTGATTAGTGCCATCAAACTTTTAGCAGAAAATTTTGATTACTAGTTTTAAGAAATACACGGTTTCAGGACTGTGTCTTATCCTAGCAAATTTTACTGGTTATCCTGTTTCAATTTACAGCTACACTGACTTAAACTTTTCTTCATTTACTCTCTACATCTCCTGTTCTGACCTGTATTGTATGGCTGTTTTCACCAGTCCTCCTTCCCTTCAGTTCTGGGGGAAAAAGTAAATCCTCCAAAAATAAATTGGTGGAGACTGGGGGGAGAAGTTGTATTTTTACTTGGGAGAGGGAAAAACTTGACTTGGAGGAGACTCGAGGGGCCCCTCATGGATGTCTGCTACTTCCTTATGAGGGAAAGCAGAGGGGTACTTACGATCTCTGCTCTCTGAGACCAGGGACAGGACTTGGGGAATGGCCTGAAGTTGTGTCAGAGGAGGTTTAGCCTGGACATCAGGGAAAGCGGCTGTAGGGCACTGAACAGGCTCCCAGGAATGGTCACGGCCCCGAGGCTGCCAGAGCTCCAGGAGCGTTTGGACAACGCTCTCAGGGATGCACAGGGTGGGATCGTTGGGGTGTCTGTGCAAGAACAGGACACGTTTCGAACCCCGGATATTGCCCAGTCCAGGGTTCCACAGCAGCGTTCAGGAACAGACCCCGGGACGCCTGCGGCTTCTCCCTGGGGCAGAACGGGCCCTACGGGTCTCCATCAGGGCGGCGCTGCCGCGTTCGCCCGTGCGGGGCTAGGCCCGAGCCGGCCGCCGTCGTGCCGGGCGGGGCCGCGGGAGGAGTGCGGCGGGGCCGCGGGAGGAGTGCGGCGGGGCCAGGATGGCGGCGTGTGCTGGGCGGTGCC